ACACCAAAAGGCGGGATGTGGGCTTCGGGATGGTGGGGAGGAGAATCTTCACTGTGTAATGTGAAGTACCATTGGATTTTTCTATTCCTTGAACTTTTAGAATTAGAGGCAATATTGCCAAATGCAGAAAGAGCAAAACCCTGAGGAGAGAGGGAAGGTACCCAGGCTCACTGCCATCGAGTGGTGCCAACTCAGAGTGACCCGTAGCAGAGCTTTTGTAAAGCCAAAGCCTCCGAGCAGCCATGTGAGGAGGGCCCCACGGTGGACACAGCGCTCTTCTTTCTGACCGACAGTCAGGGGATGCTGCTCACCGCTTTCCTCACTCAGGGCTGAATTCTTTTTGCCCTGCAGGCCTCTCAGACAGACACCCCCAGGAACGTCATCCTTTGCGGACTCTGAGGGACTCGCACTGCAGGGATGGAGCCCTGGGCTTTGTCTCCTAGTTGGTCTCCAGATGGGAAAAAGCAGACCGTCTCTACAGCTTTGTCTGAGACTGAGAGAAGGGATCTACTGGAACAATCTTGGTGCTCCAGGCCTTGGTATGTTTTATGGGGTATCTGGCTTCTACCACCAGCGCCTCTGGTACCACCTTGGACCCAACCCATGTAAACAGTGGCTCTAGACACGGCAGGGCAGATGTCAGACTAGGTACTGTTTGCAGATCCACCCTGCTTGCTTCCTCCTTCATTCGTCTACCACCACTGGAGGCATTGGCCCTCTGACCATGGTTTGCAGCAGCACAGGTAACTGGGGCACACATGACTTTTGGTCACTTCTCCTGGGGGCAGATGTGATCATTCCGTAACGCACAAAGCAAGCAGTAAACACATCAGGAGGTGCTAAACAGTTCGGGCGTCGCAGTAACACTGCTGGTGCCTTCCAGGTCTCTCTTCTGTTCTTCCAGGAGGGGGAGTGAGACTGGCCTTCTTGGTGCCTGACTCGGGCAAGACAGAGCTTGGGGAAGGAAATGTGGAGGGGCTGTGGGACAGGGGAAGGGGGAGGTGAGCCAGTTCTCCAAGGGGGCAACAGAAGAGAGAGAAATCAGGAGACAACATGCAAACCCACTGGCCAGGTTGGTACGACAAAGGGCCTGGAAAAGGTGCAGCTCTAGCGGGAGCTGGGAAGGAGAGTGATCCTCCTGCAAACCCCAGGGCTCTGGGACAGCGGGATGGGCAGGTGAGAACAGCACTGAACACGGGCACTGTGGGGACGTGTTGATGCAAGCCTCCAGCATTGCTCCCTGCCTCCATCTGGGGGTGTGATGCTGGCCAACTACTGAACAGAGGCGGAAAAGAAGAAAAGTAAAGATGAGTCTGGCCCTTGATCCCGGAGAAGGGGCAATTTCCCTGGAGATAATTAATTTCATTGGTGAGCAAGAGGACTAGATAGAGCCTGGGTTACCAGGAAGCATCAGCTGTCAGACTCCTTTTTTCCTCTCTAACCTATGTTCTCATCGAGAGAATTAACAGGCCCGGTTTCCATCTCACCACCCTGCTCCTACAGAATGATTCCCCCCTTCCTCTGATGCCACGCAAATCACCAACACCAGCACCACTAGGTAGCATGCATCTCATTCTGTGTTGCAGGGAAATTTATGGTTGACACTTTGTCTCTTTCCTGTCCATGTTCTTTGAAGTCAGAGACTCTAGAGACCTGCAATACCAGGCATTCACTGGGCACTCAATACAACCTGGCTGACTGAAATGAAAATCAACTGCAACGATTGGCAGGTGAAACCGAAAGTATGGAGGCTGACCAGGCATCTGGAATGCCAGAAGCCCAAGGTGAGGTGGTGCAGGAATGGCAAAGGCAGCGCCAGGAATGAGGCACCAAGTGGAACCAGACCCAGCTTGTCCCTATAGTCCCAGAGCTGCCCTGTCAGGCCAGGAATTAGGTGAGGAATGGGTGGGAAGGAGGGAGGCAGCTGAGCTGCCTCTCCTGCTCAAGCCAAACCATGACAGCAAACCAAAGGCGAAGGCCGATTTCTTGAGCAGTCTTTCCAGTGAGGATCTCAACCTGGTAGATGAACGGCCACTCTGTTTATCCACTAGGGCAATGCCACGGAAAGGAATGTCTGTAGTTGGCTTCGGGGGTGGGGAGGAAGGGCCCTTTAAATGTTTGACTTTGAAGCCTTCAAGTTTGCTGCCAGCCACCATGGACCGTGGTATTCTCACCAACTAATCAATGACCTTGGCTCTCAAAACAAACCTGAGAGCAAAAGCATCTTGACAAGTCACCTCTTCTGCATCCTCTCCATCAGCCCCAGATGGATTCTTGCTGAAGTTGCACAACCAACAGCCTGAAGGTCACATTGCAAGTGACGGTGTTAAATAAATGCATTGACTTCATTCTCTTAGCTAATTCTAGTGTCCCTTAAGCTTAAGTGAATCAGCATTAGCAGGATCTAAAGAGCTGGTTATAAACTGTCAAAACATAAAACTGTAATTATAATTTACTAATGATATGAAGAAATTATGTTTAGTCTTACTAGGTATAATAGTATATTGATTATGCTTATAATAGAATGTGAGGGATGAATATACCTAGGTTTGACAGATGATATTTGTATACATGTTTTTTGGTATTTACCTATGATGCAAATATATCCATGACTGTGGTGGTAAGTATGAGGGGCAAAGTTAGGACAACTCCTTAGATCTAATACCAAATACCTTGTGCAATGAGTCACTGTGTCTGGGGGTTCAGACCAACTGGCATAACAGTTTATAATGACAATGTTCTACATCTCACTTTGGTGAGTAGCCGAACTCGAAAGCTCATGAGCAGCAATCTAAGGGGTAATTATTGGTCTTTCCCTCTCTGGAGGACAGAAGAGTGATGAGACTTGAAGACACATGGAAACAATTAGTTCAATGGACTAATGAACCACAAGAACATCAGTGCCCACAACCCTGAGACCAGAAGAACTAGATGGTGCCCAGGAACCACCCCCAATTTCTCTGAATGAGATCACATTAGAAGGTCCTGGGTAGAGTTGGGGAAAAGTGTACACCTA